CACACATGAAGGAAAATTAAGGAAAAAACCCGACGTAGAAGTCCCCCGCCACCCATCGACGCCCTAAAAATTCAGTTCAATCTACCCCATCCACCTCCGAGCACCATCCTCCATCCCTCCTCCATGAGAAGCGGATGTGTACGCTTCATTTATGCATTCATCAATCAGCTAACCAAGTGTAAATTTTGCATTTCCTTACGCGGTGAAATAAAACAGAGAATTTGAATTTGGCTCGCTCCCCACTCCCCACCAGTAACCCGCCAGCCATCGAAGTCCTGTCGAAAATCCCAGTGCACCGCACCCTCGCAGAAGCTTTTGTCTTTTGGGCTTTTAGCTCCCATCGAGTGCTCCCTCGTTCGCCCTTCATTTATTTTATTCTGAAATATATAAATCGCACCTAAAAAGTATGCTACACTAAACTTTGATTCATGGCGTAAACTTTCCGTGTGCGCTGGAAAATTTCGCTTCTCCTTACGCACACACACCCGCCCACACACTTCTTTACAGCTGTTGCCCACAACGTTTCGGTTCAACGCTTTTTACGTGCTCAGCTGCCACGCCCCCTCCTCCAGACTTAAAGTTAGCAAAAAGGAGGGAAGCAGCAGTAGCCAAAAAAATAAAAATCAGCTCAGAAAACGTAAAAAAATGAAGAGTCTAGGAAAGCCAGCGCCGAAATTTTGCAATTTTCCCTTGCGCCCATTTAGCACTCGGCCATGATACGCAGTTTTCTCTTTTATTTGCTGTGAAAATAATAGAATCATAAACTGAAACGAACCGGGAAGGAGGAGGACCCACTCACATACCCAGACACGTGGTCCGCTTTGAAGTGTTTGATGAAATTTTCAACACTTAATGATAGCACTCGCAATCACTGGGGAAGGGTCGTTGGAGCCGACTGGGAGGTAACGAAAAAAGGCAGCTCGCAGTCTCATACCGCAGACAACGAGCCGAAGAGCCGACACAGCACATCATAAACGTCAACGGCAATGACCATGCACCACACAATTGTGTTAACCAAATGATGCTGCCGACCTCCAATCCCCAGCCACCAACCAGCGAGCTGGTGCAGCCTCAGTTTCAGTTTCAGCCGGTTTGGTAACTACATAAATAGCAGCCGGACAGCAACGAGTGCGAGAGTGGAAAGGCTGTAGTCCAGCAACCGGGCCAATAAAACCAACGACCCACTCCAAAATAGGCGGCACGGAAAATGCGCGAAAATAAAACAGCTGCCAACTTACCATCTGGCATGGGCAAAAAGTGCAGGGAGCTTTAAAACAGAATTTTTATATACCCTGGGGTCCGAAATACCATAAAGGATTTTTTATTCGCGCATTTGGAATATTTACTTTTTCAGGGCTACCGCCATGATTTAACTTCCTACCTTCCGGAATGACAGTTTTTCATTCATTTAAAATTATTTTTGTATTTCCACATGGGATACTGGACAATGTACACATTGGAGAAAACAATTAGAAATTCTTAGTAAATAAACCTAAATTAAAAATGCAATGGCGAAGTTATTTCAAACATCCGCAGCCCATTTAGTTTTAAATTTTAATAAAAAAAAACTATAACAACTAAGCTATGCCCAGAGTTTCGCTCAGAATTTCAAACTTCCATCCAAACGAATTCTGAATTTCCTACTTACTCCCTACGGAATTTGAATGCATTACCGACTGGCAATTACCATATAGGGCACTTCCCGCATTATCACATCATTATTATACCCAAAAATGTTCCGGGTTTTCCAACCAGTACCGTCTGCCCGGTTTCCCATATATCCCCACTCTAACCGAGATCCTGGCGGCCTGCTGTTGTCACCGGTGGTCAGCAGCTGCTGCTATTTTTCACATTTTCCTGGCCGATGGCGGCAGCTGGTATTTTTTATAGCCGAGAGTTATGCTGTTGGTGTTATTCATAATTTAAAGCCTCGCGAATGCTTAAAGCGTTGCATTGACACGCCAAAACGGAATGCCAATTGGCAAATAAGTTACAAAATTTACGCCCGACCCCAGGAACAAGCTGCGGTACAAAAAGAAATCGCCGTCGACAACGGCTCACTAAGGGCTCTTGCCAAACAGTTTTCCTGCTGCGAATGGCTGCTGAGTGTTGGCCCATTTGGACACAATCAACGGCAACATTAACAATATCGCCTTCAAAGTGCCGACTCAAACCCTAGCCCAATTTGGTGCCCAGCCCCGGACTGCGGACTCCGGACTTCGGACCCAAAAACCCCACTCAGCCCAGGTGCCCGCCGAAAGCAAAAACAACCCGAAGCATTCCGTCCGGGCAATGGCACAGCAAACACGCAGGTCCCCCCAATGACAATCCCCCCAAAAACTTTGTCAGGTAAAGCAGGTGGCCTTTACACTATAGCGATGGCACCGTGATACTAGAATAGCTGAGGCAGCCCCACGCAGCATCAAAGGTTAAAGAAAAATATTTTAAATGGTATAATTACCTCCAGTTGCAAAATTCGATGAGACAATCTATAAGAACTTTTTCTTTTTTTGGAGTTGGATTTGAATTTTTAGTTAACTGACGTTCACACCACTAGTTTGACAGCAAATGCAAAGAGTTCCGTGAGTCTGGCTTGTTGCGTGTCCACTTTCACTTAGTTTCCAGGGGCATTCTTGTATGTGTGTGTTTTGGGGGTTGCCTCGGTTAGTATGTACCGAGAAATTGCGGTTTGTTTGCCAGGTAATTACATTTTGGCTTTCCTCTGTATGGGTTCACCCCATCCACCCCTCCTCTTTGCAATCCTCTGTGTGTGGGCATGTCAGCGTGATAATTATGCGACTATAATCGCACTTTTACATGCCAGTACCGGTGTGAGGGAAGGCTGGAAAGGTGGAAAGTGCAAAGAAGTGGCGGGTAGTGGAGGTGGAGAAGGGCAAAAGGAGCCCCGACTCGGAACTTCGAACTTGGCTAAAACACTTGAACCTTAAACGAAATATGTCGTCAAGCGGCAAAAGTCGGCAGTGCCAGCTAATTAACTGGTCGCCAGGTACAGACTAACATTTTCGCCCGAGAAGGACCAGCAACCTGCGACCTGCCCCCGGCCCGGCCTTCTCCTCTACCGCGGAGCACACTCTCATGCAATATTTAAACCAAGTTGGCCGGCCGAGCTTAAACAAAAGCGAAAGGCATGTTTAATCATAAGAGCAAAAACAACACGGAATGGCCCTTGCTTTCAGCTCTCCATTCTCCATGTTGCCAAAGGCTGAGGGCTCAATCGACAGGCAGCAGTAGAAGAATCCGAAAGATGTGACGTCACGAAAAAGGGTTAAGCAAATATTGGAGTAAATAAAACCCATAAAAAAGGATCTGGATTAAGTCACATGCTTACAAGCACTAGAAGTCATTTTTAATTTTTTAAATACGTTATTTTTAGCTAAAAAAGTAAAAAGTAAAAAAAATAATATAAGTATAAGTTAATATAAGATGATTAACTTGTCACAGTAACATTTACCCTTAATAATTAACTTGGGTAAAAAAAATGTAATAATTGTTTTCGACTCTATTATTTTGACAGCATGTGTATGAGTTGGAAAGCCGAGAAAAGCAAACGGAAACGAAGTGCATACAGTTAACTACTCTTTTGGCCATGTCGCGTCGAGTGGGCGGGGCACACAGAAGCGGCAGCCGATGCGGTGTAAGAGCCAGGGCCAAAGCCAAAGCCAGAACCTGGACGGCAGCAGCAACCAATTAATGTCCTTGTTAAGCACTGGCCTGAAAAATTGGCTTAAAAAATATGTAAACTTATGCCAGAGCGATCCACAAAATGAAAACATTATAACAAATAAAATTCATGTATATGGGAAACGAAAGTCTCTATGAAAGTATTTTGTTATAAATGTTAGCAATCCAAAGGTCTTGAATAAGATACTTAAATACTATATAATACTGTATAAAATTTGATGGAAATAATGGATCGTTTGAAACACGTAAAATATACAGTTAAAATGTATAGTATAGAATCTATAAAGATAATGGATTCCATCCTGCTAATGTAAGACCCCACTTTAAATCTTATTTATGAAATAAAACTGCCGATAACTTTCTTGAATAAGGTCGCAGTATAAACTGCGACTTCAAATGTGTGGAGAGGTTTTGTTTATTCGACTTGGTGAGCGTGTTTGCCGACCGAAAAGCAAAAGCGGCCGAGGGGTAAGGTAAGGCCTTGCCAGTAGAATGGCCACAATTTCAACCTGGCCGTGTGTCGCTGGGCTTTAAGTGAAATAAAGTTCGTTCAGCTCTCTTTTTTTTATTCACTGGCGGCTATTATTTAATTTGCCCAGCCGAAGGAAAATGGGCGACGGCTTTGACATGAAGGCTCTCGGAATTTCAGAGTTCGACTTCCAGCCATCAGTTCGCTGTTCCTGGCGATTTTGCAGTTCAGCATTTCATTACGGGCCACCTCATGCGATGACATGGATCCGAGTTGGCCCAAAGCGGTTGCCGGGCACGCAAACTTTGACCAACGCCCGGATACCAATGCCAACGGCAATCTGTACGGGGCCAAACATCGAATCCAAAAATGCAACATTTTTGCCGATATCCGAATTGGTGCGACGATTCCAAAGCCTTCGAAGGACGGCGCCAATGCAGCGACCGTCATGGAAAAAGTCCGTTACATGACAACAAAAGGGACCCTCTGCCGGAAAGAAACCGCAGCCGGGTGGCCGGGTGGTGAAAGTGGCAGTTAGGGGTTCGACCTGCCTTCTAATCTGGACGCATAAATTCCAATCATTTCCCAAATGGAATGTGAAAGCCAAGCCAATAAAACCGCAAAACACAACACAGCATAAAGACAGTGCTAAGGAGCTATATTTGGAACTATATTGAAATTTTCACGTCCTGAATTTACTTTAAGCTTCATCCAGTAGATTACACCAGACTACCTTACTTTTACCTTTTGGTTGCTTTTGACACTTTGAGGGGATTGAAATATAAATCTGCTTAGTATACTTTAAATGTCAATATTTAAAATACGTTGATATAATCCTAAAATATTTCAAAATTCTTACTAAGCCGGCTAATTGACAAGAACTATTATTTTATCCAAATAGCTATCCAGGTAACAGATCCCAATCGTTTTGTAAGATCGAAGATTTTCTCTTAAAAAAATAGAACGAAAGCAACGAAAAACTTAAGCTAGAAATTAAGAAATGAACCGACGCCGCGTTCTAGAATTTAAGAATGACAGCTATACGCCGCGAAGCGGTAGAGCTTGTCGCCTTTATTATTCCACTGAGCGCCACTGGGAACCAGACTATCTAAAGGTATCTTCACTTCCAACTGTGTCCTTTCTTATAAAAAAATATCTGAAAATCATTTACAGGGAAGATGTTTCGAGTTGGGCTTGGAGGAGCAGTATAACCGGTACCAGATTCGATTGGTGGTCAGCTACCTGGGAGCTTTCTTTTTGTTGCACATTTTTCTGACCGTGCTCCATTGCCTAGCTGCGGTATTTTTGACAAGTGTTAGACAGATTATCGTACTATTAAAAGTATCATCTAATGTTTGGTTTCCTCTTTAGAACCACATTTATGTTCACGTTGACCTCTTATTTAGTATTGTTTCTGCTGCTGTTCTACTGTTAGTTCTAAGTATTAATTTCTTTGTTAATTTTGTTACGAACCACCCATGGATTATGACTTTGAGTGCAACCATTGCCACCGTCGTTGCCGTTGTTTCTGGTAAGTCGACTTTTAAGATCTGAGTCTACAGTTTACAATTTTTCTTTACATTATTAACACCATTTAAAAAGTGATATATAATAGCATAATTAAATTAATTAATTAGTTACATTATAATTATATTTCAGACATAGGACAGGTTATATATTCAGAACATGAAATCAAGTGGAAATTGGAAATTAATCACTATACCTACTATCTGTGCATGGTGTATATGTTTCTTCCGATAATCTCGCATACGGTGGCAATTATAATGGGCACGGGGGTCAGCCTTATCTACATAAGCTACTACATTTACTGCCTTAATTTTGTTAAGATCAACCAGAGGAGTTATAATTACTTTTATATAATAATGGACTTGCTCCATTACATTTGCTTCAATGTAATGGGCATATACTACCGTATGATGAATGACATGCTTACGCGTTCCTCATTTCTCGATCGCCACCAGTTTATCGTGGAGGAGATGTGGCTTAGGAACGCCCGTCCTCAGGAGTCGCGGCTGCTGAACGCTATTCTACCTTCTCACATAGCCAATTACATTCAAAGCAGCATCAAAGAGAGAATCTTGCAAACCGAAACAGGGCTGAGATATGACCGTCATCGCCACAAGTCGACGGTTGGCATGGCTATTCAGATACACCCTGATGTTAGTATCTTGTATGCGGATGTAGTCAACTACACACATCTGACCACCACGTTGCCGGTGGAAGATTTAATCCTTGTACTTCACGATCTGTACGCCAGATTCGACGTGGCGGCCTCGCACTTCAATGTGCAACGAATCAAGTTCCTTGGTGACTGTTACTACTGCGTGGCTGGTCTGACCTCGCCGAATCCCGACCACGCCCAGACTGCGGTGTCCTTGGGAATTTCGATGATTGCCAACATCCAGGAAGTGCGGTAAGTGTATATTATTGGATTATGGTTTGTTTTGCTCTTTTTTGTTTTTATGAAAACTTGCAATATGTTTCAACATCTGCAGAGAAGAATGGAATTTGAATATCGATATGCGCATAGGAGTTCATTCGGGAGACATAATTGCAGGTGTTATTGGCGAGGCCAAGCTTCAGTTCGACATTTGGGGTAAGACATAAGAATGCAACCTGGCAGCCATCAAGCGTCTTTTCCATTTTTAGGGCCAGCGGTGGACTTTGCCAATCTTTTAGAGTCCACTGGCGAAGCGGGATATGTACATGTTAGTAGTACTACCATGCAAATGCTAAACGTTGAAGGACTCTTTGTAAAACCTGGAACTAATGAAACAATGAATACATACCTAATAACTGGGGTCCCGCCAAGAGCATCAGTTAGGCGCACCTTAGACTACTCTGGTCTCTTTGGTTTTGATCCCAAAGCATATCACGAGCCCATCCATAACTGGTCGTCTTATGTGGACCCTACGACTGAACAATTAGAGGATGAGTTTAAAAAAATACCCGTTGGTGGCATTGAGTGAGTCCATTTGAAAAATCCATGTATCTTTCCCCCTGCTTTATAACCAAAAGTTATAGTACATTCCTATGCCCTTGCAGAGGGTATTATAATTATGGCCCAAATTGTGCAACCCACTTAAGGAGTCGTCTCCGACCGTATGATATATATTCTTGAGAAGAAACCACGCGCAAGAGAAGAAACCATGCATAAAAGTCTCCATTCCAAAGCCTATAGCTCTATCTCTTATAGTCAATGAGATCCACGCGATCATACGGACAAACAAACTGACGCACATGGCTATATGGTATCGACTAGGGTGTTGATGCTGATCAGGAATATATATACTTTATGGGGTCGGAGATGATTCCTTTTTTATGGTACATACATTCATAAGACTACATAATACCCTTGTGCTCTACGAGTACCGGGTAGAAAAATACTACAGCAGATAACACCCACCAAAATTGATATCAAATATTATTTATTTTAGATTACATTTTTTTTTTTGAACAAAACGAAAACAGCGGATACGTTTATGAAAACACATGGAGAAATACCATGTTTTGGTGTTAAAATACGATTGTGTTTTTATTATAGGAGACGAAATTAAACTTTAGCCACCCTTAAAGTGTTGATAACACACTTGTGTTCCCAACCAGTGCATTGTAGTTACCTCCGAGAAAATATGGTATAGTTACCCCATAGACTAACTTATAGCTTATGTATCATGTTCATAACTCCGTATATCTCATTTTTACCAAACGTGGTATATTAAAGAGTTTCAGGTATTTAAAAAAATAGAGGTATTAAAGCTGTTTTGCCTAACAAATACGTTTAATATCGGCATACCTTAACCATTTTTTTAATCACAGACCCATATGTTGGATAAGAGATAATAATAAAGAGGAGTACATAAATGCAGAAGTAGGACACGTTTTTGTTGCCTTCAATGATTCGAGCCTGGAGTGGAACTATCTGCGTCGACCGGACTACATTATTAAGTACACAGCGCTGTTGGTGTGGATTATGGGATGCTGCTTGATTTACTTACAGCTTGTGACCATCGAATCGTTGTGCTTATTATGCATTGCGATTGACATTCTTGTTTTTCTGTTTTTGTCCGCTGTGCTAGCCATTTGTTGGTACAAGAAATACTGCTTTTGGAAAAGTGAAGGAGACGAGAACAAAATCTATTCCCGATGCAGCTGCAGAATCTTCAATTTATTTGAAAAAATTCAGCAAAGTATAACAAAGCGCATTGTACTCTACTTGACAGTAGTATTTCTATATTTAATCATGATTTCCCAAATATTGGTTAGTAAATTATAGTGCTGGCCAACGCAAAATTTCCTTTTTCAATTGTAGACTTGTCTCACATATTTAGTGGAATTCTCCAAATAATCGCCTAATATCCATACTTTGTAGCGCATCAATGTGACACGGTGAACCTAGAATCTATTGTAAACAAGTCTTCAGTTGGATAAGAAAAACAATTTCGAAACTCGGAGGCCTGTTTAACAAATTTAAAAACGTTAATAGTGTTTCATTGTATTCCTTGCAGAATAATTGCGAATATGACTTATTCCAGCTGAAGTTCATAGATGCAAGGCTTTTCATGTATCAAATGGATGCCGACATTTGCTTTCGTCCCTGGGAATTTACCAAAATGATGTCCTTGCTCATTGGAATGAGCTATACGTTTGCCCGGATCCCCTTTTCACTGAAAATGGGCGTTTGTTTGTTGGAAGGAATATACTTTATGGTGGTGGTACTCCTTCAATACGAATTTATCTTCCATCATAGTAAAACTACTGTACCGTACATGCCTGCGGAAGCAGCTCATTGCAAGCGAATCATAGTGATGCTGCTTACTTTCTATTTTAAGGAGCGTCGGGTCGAGTTCAACACCAAGATGAACTTCAAGTGAGTGGACTAGTTTATTATTTTTGAAATTTTCCTCCATAAATCCTCTCAGAATTAATTTGGACATGAAAAAAAAACAAGAATCCGCTGACTTAACCAATGCGTCGATCAAAATTCTACTCAATAATATACTTCCCGCTCATGTCGGTAAGTGCCACAAACCAATATTTTATTTTAAGTAATTTGAGGAAGCGGTCTTTGTGTTTTTTTGTGCAGTTGAAGTGTATCTCACCAATTTAGCCAATCACGAACTCTACTATGAAAATTATGATTTGGTCTCTGTTATGTTCGCCATGTTAAGCAATTTTCAAATAGATTTGTCCGGCCTCAGAGTATTGAATGATATTATTACAGAATTTGATAGATTGGTAAAATTACCAATAAGGTCTTAAAAATAAAGATTTTTTGAGATTTTATTATTAACAGTTGAACGTTTACAAGGAGTACTATGTAGTTGAGAAGATTAAAGTGGTTGGAGGAACTTACATGGCCGCCTGTGGGTTGGATTATACTCAAGCCGCGAAAATCGGAAGAAGCCAAAAAAATGCACTTGTAATAGAAGGTGCGTAAAAAAGCTATATTCCTGTTAGTCGGATACCATTTAAAGAAGCGCTCAATTTCTTTGATTTCAATCGTAACCTTATACTTTTTAGCGGAACGAGCATCGCGATTCCGTCAGTCGCTCATGACTGCTGGAAACATCGATTATGGCGAGATCAACGACCAGGAAGAGGTAGTCTTTGTGATGGCCAGCTTCGCATTAGACCTGATGAGGACCCTTTTTATGTGCAACCAGGCCTACCAAAAGAAACCCTTTGAACGAACCTTGAAGTTAGGCGAGATCTGCATCGGCATTTCCAGCGGAGAGATAATGGCCGGAGTGGTCGGGGCCTCCCAGCCCCACTACGACATCTGGGGCAGCCCTGTAAACATGGCGTCCCGGATGCAGTCTACGGGCATGGCTGGTCGCATCCACGTAACGGAAGAATCTGCCCTAATTCTGATCGAATATGGCATCAGCAGCACTTTCCGCGGAATGACCTACGTGAAAGGCGTTGGCGAAATTCCCACGTACTTTCTGGACATTGACGATGAATACAATTTTGTCCTTCTAGAGGAGGAAGAGGCCTTTGAACAACGTCAATCGGTAAAGTCGTTACGGTCGACAGTATCGCATAACGTACATTATGATGCCAGCTCTTACGTCGATCTCCCATAGATTGCAACATATTTTATGACTTTATTTTTACATTGTTAAATATATTTTCCTAAGGTTCGCAAAACCTCGTGACATTTTGAGTCACATTTTGAGTCATTTTGGGGAATGAGTCACAAACTGCTTTACTTCAATCTGTTGCTTTTATACCCTTGCAGAGGATATTATAATTTTGGTGAAAAGTATGAAACGCAGTTAAAGAGACATCTCCACCGCTACACACAGTTCTTTCCTTTCTTTCCTATATAGGTGGGAACGGCCGGGTTTGGCCTATAGCTGCCATATGATCGAAAATGTTATAACTTTGGTGTTTTTAGAGTAAGAATGTTATCGTTGGCAAAATAATACGACAAACCAATTTTCATAAGGATCCACCGACTATATATCCCATAGCTGCCGTATAACTGAAAGATCGGAAATAACGCAACTTTTGTGTTTTTAAGACAGAAAGTTGGAACTTCGTACAGATTCTATTTTTGGCCAGTTGGTTTGGTTTTTAGTCATCCCACCTACCAAGTTTTATAACGATCGATCGGAAATAATATTTCGTAAAAATGCCAAATTTGGTATTTTTGAAGTTTGTAGCTTGGGGCCTGTTGAAATCTATAGATTTTGTTTTATAAAAATTGGATTTATTATGATATTATCATAAGGATCGGCCAACTATATCCTATGTCTTCGATAATTATCCGGTTTTAAGTGCAAGGCAAGGAAAGCTAACTTCGGGCGGAGCACGGGAAAAAAAAAATAGTACCAGTTGTCTAATGATTAGAAAACTCAACTAGACCGTCTCTTACTATAATTCTTGATCAACATAGTAAGCCGAGCCTTTTTAAAATTTCGTTCCATTACATTTATATTTCATTTTTACATGCTTGTACACAGATACACAGAACATAGACTAAGATTAGAAGACATCCCAAATTTTTTAATACAAACGAATCAAAATGAACAAACAAAGGAACACGATGTACAAGATACGGAACACATACTATCCGCGCAAGAATAGACAATGCAAGCTGATCTATGATCGAGAGCGTTATTGGGAATACGATTACCTAAAAGTAAGCTAACCAAAAGATTAGGAACAGAAGACCAATTTTGATAACAGTTGCTTTCAGAAAAAATGCAAGGAGATGAACTTGGAAAAATCTTACCGTCTCTACCAAGTTCGCTTGATGCTTAGTTATTTGGGGGTGTTCTGTATTTTGCACATTTTCGTCACCCTTTTCGTCTGCATTCTTATCGTTTTTTTTCCCAATGTTAGATTGCATGATCTTCTTTTTAAAGTCGACGACTAAATCTTATCTACCACAGCAACGTACTTATGTCAAAATGGATATCATCTTCCAAGTGGTGTCGTCTCTCCTTGTCATAGGATGTCTGAGTGTTAATTTCAACGAACGCATTGCTGCGCGCCATCATTGGTATATGGCAGCCTCCTCGATTGTGGCAACATTAATAGCGACATTTTTTGGTAAGTCATTAAGTGTAAGAATTCTTTATTTATTGCAATTCATATTCCATAGATTTGGGGCAATGCCTTTGGTTTAAGTCCTTTTACGAATGGAACCTATACAACTGTTACGACACTTACATCCTGTGCATGATCTACATGTTCCTGCCAATAATTTCAATTAAACTTTGCCTCTCACTGGGCGCCATTGTGAGTTTCCTGTACATTGCGTATTACTACTACAACATGGGAGTAAATATAGAGACGGAAAATTACAATAGGGCTGTTGACGTCACGCACTTTTTTTGCTTTAACCTACTGGGCGTGTTCTATCGCATGATGAACGAAATACTGGTACGATCCTCCTTCCTCGACCGCCAGCAGTACATGATAGAAGAGTTTTGGCTTCGGAACGCACGGCAACAGGAGGCAGCCCTGCTAAACACCATTTTCCCAACGCAGATAGCCAAGTCTATATTTCGCTCCATTAAGGAGCGAATCATTGCCGAAGAAAAATTTATTCCGGGTCAACCAGACAGCCTTAAGGCCTCCAATATTATGGCGATCCAGCAACACCCTGATGTCAGCATCCTTTACGCAGATTTGGTCAACTACACCCACCTGACAACCACGCTTCCGGTGCAGGACCTGGTAAAGGTGCTGCACGACCTCTACGGCAGGTTCGATATGGCGGCCTCAATTTTCAATGTCATGCGCATTAAGTTCTTAGGTGACTGCTATTACTGTGTAGCGGGTCTACAACAACCGGATCCTCAGCACGCGAAATTGGCTGTCTCCTTGGGTATTTCAATGATTGCCAATATTAAAGAAGTACGGTATGTACATCAATACCCATCCTACAATATAAGTCATAAATTAGCTCACAGGGAGGAACGACAGCTGGACATCGATATGCGGATAGGGGTCCACTCGGGCCACCTATTCGCAGGAGTTATAGGGCAGGCTAAGCTACAGTTCGATGTATGGGGTAAGCATACATCAAATCAACAAGAAAAATTCTTTTAAAATCAATATTTACCATTGAGGTATTTTATTTTAATCATATAGTCCAAAGTATCCTTCCCCAAAAACATTAAAAAATATAAATAATATATTATAACATAATATATAATTTACAAATGGATACAAAAAGTTTATAATTGGAATTGACGTCTTCTAGGAGTCGACGTGAACATTGCCAATCACTTAGAAGCTACCGGCGAACCGGGTTACGTCCACGTCAGTAGCATTACTTTGAGCAACTTGGACCTAAACGAATATATTGTTCGCCCGGGTCCTGTGAAAGCCCAACAGGATCCCGTGATTCAAAGCTATCCTATGCGCACATATCTTCTTACCGGTGTACCCCAAAGGGACTCCGTCAGACGGTCCGAATCTGTTCCAATCATAGGGTTCAAATTAAGATCTCGTATTGAGCAACCCTTAAAGGAGAGGGATGTAAAGTTGTCGGAGGAATTATCTGAGGAATTTAAAAAGATGCAAACCGCCGGTCTAGAGTGAGTATTTTTTATTTGACTTTTGCATTTTACGAGCTGAAGTAAAATAAGACTTCCATTTTTTGTACAGTTTGTGATGCACTTTATTCTAAAAATCAATTGTAAAATAGTAATAGTAAAATAAAATGGTATCGTGCATCCTTTTAATGTATTGCGATCCTCAAAATGCCCAAATTTATTATTAACGAATCATATTTTGGCGTTTTTCTCAGTCTTAGATGTTGTCGCCGGGTTAAAGTTGAGCGAAAAAGCAAACATTCCAATCGTGACGTCGAATGGTGCTGTGGGGCCCTTCCGGTTTTCCATGATTCGCATCTTGAATGGAGCTATATCAACAGGACGGACTATGTTCTCAAGTACTCTATTTGCGTATCCTATATAATTGGGGTAGTCTTGGTCTTTAACCAGGCTACAGCTAACAGGACCATTTGCATAGCGTGCATTTATGTTGATGTTATATTGTTTTTAATGCTGACCGTAGTGCTTTGCATTGCTTGGTACAAAAAATTTTGCTTTTGGAAATACCATGAGGAAAAGGAATATAACAACTTGAGCTGCAGGATTTTTTCACTTTGGGAGAAGGTTCAGCGCAGTTCAGCGCGACGGATCGCGGTGTACCTATTTATTTTGAGCATATACTTCACGTATTTGTCTCTCTCGGTGGTTAGTAATGACACTTGAAAATGGATAATTGTATGCGTAATTATTTTCTCACTATTTTCAGGTTAATTGTGACCTCAATATGTTTGAGTTAGCTTTCATAGAGAACAACCTTTACGACTACGTAAGGGATGATGCGATGTGCTTTCGACCATGGGTATTCACCAACCTAATGGCTCTAATCATTGGAATGACGTTTACATTCGCTCACATTCCCTTCTCACTGAAAACAGCAATCGCGACTCTGGAGGTCTTGGTCTACCTGGTACTAATATATTTGGAGTACCCTTTTATATTCCATCACAGCAAAACATCGTTTGCATTTCTTCCCTCGGAAGCCGCCCACTGCATGCGTGTCCTGTTCACCTTTTTCACATTTTATATCAAGGAACGAGAGGTCGAGTTTAACGCTAAGACGAACTTCAAGTAGGTATAATATTGGAAAGCGAATCATTTTTTCAAATAGCTGAGTTTACAGATTAAATAATGACCTAAAAAACAAGCAAAAAGATGCCGACTTAACCAACCAATCTCTAGTGATCCTCCTCAATAATATTCTTCCCTCGCACGTCGGTAAGTGACTCTTTATGCAAATCCCTGTTTTGTATGGTGATTTGGGCCATCTCCATCCGCAGTTGAATTATACCTGACCCATTTGGAGAAGCACGAGCTCTATTATGAAAACTACTCGATGGTCTCGGTGATGTTCGCCTCGTTAATCAATTTTGAAGTAAATTTAAAAACCCTACGAGTATTAAACGACCTTATAACAGAGTTTGACAAATTGGTATGCCAAATTTGTATGTTTTAACCGGTTTAACTCTAATATATATCTTGAATTGCAGTTGAACGTCTACAGGGAATACTACGTGGTTGAGAAGATCAAGGTTGTGGGCTGCACCTACATGGCTGCCTGTGGGCTAGATTTTAACCTGGCCTCATTACATCTACAAGAAAGCAAGGCAAAATTGAACTGTAAGTTTTATTATTAAATTTTAGATTTACTTAATATATAATATTTCATACACATTTACATTCCAGTTCGATTAGCAAGCCTATCGCATCAAGAAAGCACACATGAAGAAAGTTTCGACCAAGTTGTCTTGGTAATGGCCTACTTCGCCCTGGACCTGATGCGCACCCTTTTCGAGTGTAACAGGGTCTACGCTAGCAAGCCCTTTGACCGTAGTCTGTCGGCCACCGGGATCTGCATCGGAATCTCGAGTGGAAAAGTAATGGCCGGAATCGTGGGCGCCTCCCAACCCCACTACGACATCTGGGGAAATCCCGTCAATATGGCTTCCCGAATGCAGTCCACTGGTTTAGTGGGAAAGATCCAGGTTACCGAAGAATCAGCCTTCATTTTGCGAGATTTCGGGATCAGTTGCACATTTCGTGGCATGACCTATGTGAAGGGAGTTAATGAAATCCCCACGTACTTCGTGGACATAGACTCCAATTATAACTTTGTTGAATTAGATAACACTGCAGTCGAACGAAGAATGTCCCTCTTCCAGTTAGACTCCACCGATAGCGATGCGAAAATGGTTTCAAGCACTAACGGAGAGACTACATAATTTTTATACATTTGGCAAAATATTCATACTTTAACGAGAAAACTTTATTTACTAAACTACGTCAATAAAGAGCTACTGTACCCAACTACGTGTTTGTTAATAACAAAATTATACTTAAATTTACCGATTAAGTATATGGAATTCAGATGAGGGAATCTTTACTAAGTAAAAATTCTAGGACCAAAGTAACAGTAGCTCATATAGTCATGCATCATTAACATATACCGCATCAACCTATACATATGTACACATCTCAAACATAATTCTTATATACGTCAAATCAAAAACACGAAACAAGCCATGTATAGGGAAGGTAGCTTTTATCACACGGGGAAGTGGAAGCGCCGTAAGTCCTGCAAGCTGCGCTTCTCGAGTGAGAGTTTGTGGGAGCCGTCCTATCTAAAGGTATCTGAGCGCTCCCAACTAGCCCCGCTCTACCACTAACTGAAACATATTTTCCAGGCCAAATGCAAGGAGTTGGGTCTGGAGGAGGAATACTTGAGGTACCAGATCCGACTTATGATCAGTTACCTGCGCGTGTTCTTCGTTTTGAATATAATAGTCACCGCCCTTCATTGCTTTGTAATCATAGTTTTCACCAATGTTAGCAATCTATGTTGATATCCTGAGATTGCGCTCTAACTTTTATTTTTTCCAGTACAAGCATTCGCTTATTGTCGACATACCATTCTTCTTAGTGCCCTCTGCTGCAATTCTTCTTTGTTTAAGTATCAATTTCTTTGAGCAGTTTGTTCTGCGCCACAGGTGGGTTATGACGGCTAGCTCGATTGCAGCTACCATTATTTCAGTGTCCGCAGGTAAGTCGAATCAACAAAAACAGAATCGTGTAATAATTAAGTCACGTCTAGATATTGGTAAGTGCGCTTACCATTACAATTGGACGTTGAATAACACGTTCGATACCTATAATCTGTGCATGATATACATGTTTCTGCCAATAACCTCATTAGTCCTGGCCGTGTCCCTGGGCTCGTTAGTGAGCCTGGCTTACATTCTGTATTTCCTATACTGCATGGCATACATGCGCTTTTACAGCGGAGATAAAGAGTTCGGCCTTGCGACCGTAGACGTCTTCCACTACCTTTGCTTCAATATGCTGGGCATGTTCTTCCGCATGATGAACGACGCGCTTGTACGCTCCTCCTTCCTAGACCGCCACCAGTTCATGATGGAGGAGCTCTGGCTCCGGAACGCCCGCAGACAGGAGTCGATGCTGCTGAACAGCATTCTGCCGCCACAGATAGCCAAGTCCCTTCAGAAGTCCATCAAGGAACGGATCATAGAAACCGATAACGGTCTCATGTTTCAGCGATCCCGGGTGCACTTCTCCAGTCTCATGGCTATCCAGATACACCCGGACGTCAGTATCTTGTACGCGGATGTGGTTAACTACACCCATCTTACGACGACTCTCACAGTGGAAAAACTAGTCCAGGTTCTACATGATCTCTACGCCAGATTCGACATGGCGGCCTCAATGTACAAGGTCCAGCGCATAAAGTTTTTGGGTGACTGTTACTATTGTGTGGCGGGTCTAAGTGAGCCGGATCCTGATCATGCCATCTGTGCCGTGTCTCTGGGAATAGCTATGATTGCAAATATCCAGGAAGTTAGGTATGACTATATATGATTAGATGCAACTAAAATGGCAAGCAAGGGATGCCCTCTATATTCATTTTGTATAGGATGTGAGCAGTCCATCCTTATGGAAATGCCTATTTACCATGTTTTCGACCCAAAAACTTTTATTTTGTGTGCATAATATTTATAATATTTTGTCTAGCTGTGTTCGTCTGCTTCAAATCACATCTTTCAGCGTCGCTTATTTCTATTGTTAGACATAAACCAAGTATCGGACATGGTCGTTGATTTATTTGGCTGTTAAAGCTTAGATCCATTAAGACGTATTCTTAATTTAAAGTATTCTTTAATTTTGGCGTCAATTTGCGAATTATAGTCACACAATTTTGAAAGCTCTACAAAAACATCGAGACGAGAGTTTTACTATTATTTTTGGCATTCGTCTACGAATAAATTTAACCAAAGATAAAGTATTAAACTTAAAATAATTCAATCCACAGGAAAAAACGGGAGTTAAACATTGACATGCGAATAGGAGTCCACTCGGGAAATCTATTTGCAGGAGTTATAGGGGTTGCAAAGTTGCAGCTTGACATTTGGGGTAAGCCAAAAAAACTTCTGTCTTACCAAAATTTCGAAAAATATGTACTTAATTTATATTCATTATACATATTCGAAAAAGCTAAAAGGCGAACTTTTTTTTCCAAAGGATTCAAATAATAACTTTGCTATTTTAAGGACCCGACGTGGACATTGCCAATCATCTGGAGTCCACTGGCGAACCGGGCTTTGTACATGTCAGTGGCAGGACTTTGGCCAACTTGAACGTTGAGGACTATATAGTTATTCCGGGCACTGACAAGGCCCAAAGAGATCCCGTGCTGCAGAAACATCCGATGAGTACCTACCTTATAACCGGAGCTGCACCAAGCGACTCATGCAGACGTTCCAGGCAATCACATCTAGCTTCTATGCTGGACATTCAAACCCGACCAAAGTATCATAGCAGAAGCTCAAACCAAATGTCGCCCACGGATGAGTTGCAGCAGGAGTTTCGCAATATGCCAGTTGGAGGTTTTGAGTGAGTGCACATTTGTAATTACATACAATGCCACTTATTATACCCGGTACCCGGTACAAAAATTTGTTGTTGAGAATCCATACCGTTAAAGTTTAACATTTAAAGGTTAGTTAAATTGTGGGTGGAGGAGATGAGTACCGGGTATAATATAGTCGGGAAACTCGACTATATGTCTTCTCGCTTGTTTTTCTATTGCTTTCCTGTCTGTTCAGCTTCAGTTGCTTGTCTAGGAAGGATAATAAGGATCAACACAGAAAAGATCTTGGAATATTTTGTGCCGCTTTCAGAGATGCAAGGCTAGAATGGGATTTTCTGCGTAGACCTGACTATATGCTTAAATACTCCATAGTTATGGCCTGGCTTATCGGAAACTGCTTAGTATTCATCCAGATCGTGACTAACCAAAGGAATTGCCATACCTGCATTGTGGTGGATATATTCGCATTCTTTTATTTAACCACTCTCGTTTGCATTTCGTGGTATAAAAAATACTGCCACTGGATGTATAGAAACGATGAGGAAAGGCGGTACGGCCGCCTTAGCTGCAGGATTTTCAAATTCTTTGAGGGGATTCAGCAAAGCATGTCAAGACGCCTTTTAGTTTACTTGTCTATAATAGCCATATATTTTTCAGTGATAGTTTTGATAGTGGTAAGTAGTTTTTGATTGAAAAAAAAAATCTTTACTTGAAGTATTTTCAGATAAATTGTGATGCTGGTGTGTTCCAGTTAAACTTCATTGAGTCAAAATTGTATAGGTATGAAGTAAATCGGGACGTGTGCTTCCATCCCTGGGCCTTCACCAACATGATGGCTCTAATCCTTGGAATGAGCTACACGTTCACCAGGATTTCTTTCTCGCTGAAAATGATAATAAGCCTGGTGGAGGTCGTTGTGTATTTTATGTTTCTGTTCTTACAGTTTACATATGTATTCCACCACAGTGTGACTACGTCTCCCTATTTGATCGCGGAAGTAGCTCACTCTACGCGAATAATTGTCACATTTGTAACGTTCTATCTAAAAGAACGGCAGGTGGAGTTCAACACAAAGACAAATTTCAAGTGAGTTACCTTAATAGTTACTATTTGTGCTTAACAATTTGTGATTGTGTAAAATCATTAGACTTAATATAGATCTGCAGAACAAGCAACAGGCAGCCGATATAACCAACCAGTCGATTCTCATCCTGCTCAACAACCTTCTACCCTCCCACGTTGGTAAGCTTACAATATTCATAATTTCTGTACATTCCTAAATATATATGCATATATATATTTTATTAAATGTAACAATCCTTTAATTTACAGTCGCAGTGTACCTAACAAACATTGCCAAGCACCAGCTCTATTACGAAAACTACGACATGGTCTCGGTCATGTTCGCCTCGTTAATCAATTTTCAAATGGATTTGCCTAGTCTTCGAGTATTAAATAACATAGTCACCGAGTTTGATAAATTGGTTAGCTGAAAATCTCGAACGCTAAATCATAAAAAAAATCATTTCTGTTTGATCACAGCTTATCGTCTACAAGGAATACTTTGTGGTTGAAAAAATAAAGGTCGTTGGATGCACATACATGGCTGCTTGCGGATTAGATTTTAACCTGGTCGAAAAAAGCGCTAAAACAGTTGGAAATATATGTTAGTATATAGTTTTACTAAAACACTTCATTTAACTAAACTGCATTGTGAAATCCACTTCTAGCTGAGCGATTGTCACGCAGCGTAACGCTTTCGGGTTCTGTACGAAGCGAGGTATACCACGACGAGGTTGTGCTAGTTATGGCCACCTTCGCCCTGGACCTGATGCGAACTCTCTCTGTTTGCAACAACACGTATGCGGACTTACCAACTGACCGAGACCTGAGCAGCGGAGAAATCTGCATCGGCATTTCCAGCGGGGAGATAATGGCCGGAGTGGTCGGGGCCTCCCAGCCGCACTACGACATCTGGGGAAATCCTGTAAACTTGGCTTCCCGGATGCAGTCGACAGGCTTGGCCGGCCACATACAAGTGACCGAAGAATCGGCGAATATTTTGTCTGATTACGGCATTAGCAGTACTTATCGGGGCATGACCTTTGTTAAGGGAGTTGGCGAAATTCCGACGTATTTTGTGGACATCAGCAACGGCTATCAATTTATTTTCATCCCTGGACCTCAATTAAACAGGCGCGGTTCAACTCTATACCCATTCCATGCTGATTTGAGGTCCGCAGAGAAAGAGGAGGAGACGTAGCTCCAATCATTTACAATACTATCACATTCACCTTTCTAAATAAATGTACATATTTTTTAGCAATCTGATCATTTTTGGGTGCCATCAAATAGTTTATTTTTATTTGTTAACCAAAGTAGTCTGTTCCGTTTCCTTAATTACGAAAATAAATCTCAATGATTTTATAATCAAACTCCAAAAAGCATTGAGTTCAAGAAGAATAAAGAATGCCGCCAATATCATATAGAAGAGGATGTTTCATAAATTACTCAAAGGAGAAGATGTGGGAGCCCGGCTACCTTAAAGTAAGAAGTGTGGTGATAGCTTGTTATTAGGTTGGAATTGATAAAACTTACGATCGGCAGGCCAAGTGCAAGGAGTTGGGCTTGGAGGACCAATTCCAGTTGTATCAGATCCGACTGTGGAAAAGCTATCTGAGCGTTTTCTATTTTCTTCACATCTTAGTTACTGTAAGCCATTGCACCCTTTTGCTAACGACAAGCACTGTAAGTAAATGAACTGTAGATTAAGCACCTTGTTTTGAAGAAATGACTTTAGCACGTTGAAATAATATACTTCGACGTGGGACTTTACATTGGCAGCGCTGTGATCATCTTATCGATTCTAAGCATAAATTTTTGTGACGCCTTCATTGCGGATCACACATGGATGATGTTCCTTAGCTCAATGCTCGCCGCCCTTACTCTGGTTTTGACAGGCGAGTCTCTTAAAAATTCGTTCAATACCAAAAAAAAACTAAAAAAATTATTTAGACCTATTTCAGACATTTTACCATAAGACGTTTACCAACTGGACTCTTGGATCGTTCTACGATACGTATATTATCTTTATGATATACATGTTTCTGCCAATCCACTTCATTTTTGGTGCAGTGGCCCTTGGCCTCTTGATTTCAGGCATCTACATAGTTTACTTTTTGATCTTCGAGGGCCTAAGATTCACCTTAATCTTTTCCGATATTTTCCATTTTACTGGACTGTGGGTGGACATACTCCACTACTTGTGCCTTAACATGGTCGGACTCTTTTTCCGAGTGATGAACGGCATCGTGGTGCGATCCTCCTTCCTGGACCGCCATCAGTACGTTAAAGAGGAGCTTTGGCTGCGGAATGCCCGGCTCCAAGAGAAACTTCTGCTGGACAGCATCCTCCCGAAGGCCATATCGCAGCACTTGCAGAGAGAAATCCAGAACAGGATTAGCCTGGCCAAGAAGGGAATGCGGCACTTTAGCGTATTGGACCGGAGCATGACCATACAGGTGCACCCGGATGTCAGCATCCTGTACGCGGATGTAGTAAACTACACTCACCTGACAACAACGCTGACCGTGGAGCGGCTTGTGACCATCCTGCACGATCTCTACAGGCGATTCGACGTGGCAGCCTCCCGTTACCAGGTGCAACGGATCAAGTTCCTTGGTGATTGCTACTACTGCGTAGCCGGCTTGGTAGAACCGGATCCGGATCATGCTGACAACTGTGTGGCTCTAGGTCTGTGCATGATCGCCGAGATCCAAGATTTACGGTGAGTATCAAGAGGGAGGAAAGTATGTAAATAATTGTTCCCTTTCAAAATACAGGGATATTCAAGCACTAGATATCAATATGCGCATTGGAGTACATTCGGGTAATCTCTTTGCGGGCATCATCGGTCAGGCCAAGCTTCAATACGATGTTTGGGGTGAGCTGTGGATCTCAGAGAGACTCCATTTATAAACCCTCTCCTGCAGGACTGGATGTTACCATTGCCAACGTGTTGGAATCTACTGGCGTGCCAGGCTTCGTTCATATTAGTGGCGCTACTTTAAGCAATTTGGACTTACCTGATTATGTTATCATTGATGGTCCCGAAAGGGCTGTTGACCATCCCCTCTTAAAGAAATACAAAATAAAGACGTATATAGTAGAATCTGGTCCTTCAAGTAGAGAAAGCAGTGACTCTTTCGATTATGGCAGAACTTTATCTGTGATAAGTATTACCTCAAGACCATTTCACCACACCAGACAGGAAGATGCAAACCTTGACGCCATTTTCAACGCAGAGCTTAATGAGGAATTTCGGAAGATGCCTGTCAGTCCATATAAGTAAGTTGATCTTAATAATGACGTTTTTTTGTTTCATTTATTAGTAGGAATAAAATGTGCATCTGATGAAGTGTACTTTCGGTTCTTCAGCATAAAAGATTTCTATGGAAACATTGGGAAAAATGAACAGTCCAAGCTACACGAGAAAGTGACTTTTTTTCTAACTTTTCGGGATATGGATTTGGAGAAAGACTATTTAGGACAAACGGATTTTATGTTCAAGTACAATATTCTTCTGGTCTGCATGATTGGGCTTTCCCTGCTATTTGTCCAAATAACGTACGGCGAAGGTTTATGCCTACTCTGCGCTTCCCTGGATGGCTTTGTTATTTTTAGTCTGTTCCTATTTACCTTTATTTCGTGGTATAAAAAGGTGTGCTGGTGGAGAATAGGGAGACGCAACCCAGGTCACGTTTATAATCGCTTTAGCTGCTTTATTTTCTATGTCTACGAGAGCATCCAAAGAAGTCTTCTTATCCGCATATGCATTTATCTATTTGTGACTGCTTCGAACTGCCTGGTGGTTGCAATAATATTGGTAAGTCCCTGTGATTATCCAGGGAATTTTAATTTCTTTTGGTATATTTTTATTGTACATTGATATTTTCTTTTAGTTTAATTGCGATCGTTCCGCTTATATTCTTGGAAAAATCGAGAGCAAGATTTTTCACTACGAAGAGAAGAGTTCGATGTGCTTTCAGCCTTGGCTTGTGACCAATGTTGCGGCAATTATGATCAGCATGGCCATTACGTTCACTCGTATTCCTTTCCTGGTCAAGACTTTGGTCGTCGTAGTACAGACAGTAACATACCTATTATTGGTTTTCACAGTCTACGACTTTAACTATCGCCACAGTGTCAGTTCTAATCCCTTCCTGGCTGCAGAGTACGCCCATGGTCTGCTAATTTTAATAACGGCGGTTACTGCCTATCTGAAGGAGCGCCAAATCGAGTTTGCCAATAAGGTGAATTTCAGGTGAGTCTTCGGCCCTTAAAATTGTTTCTTTACGCTAAATACAGGTCCTCAGCTGGCAAAAAGAGTTGGAAGGCAAGGAGCGTGATGCCCATTTAACCAATCAATCGATTGTGGTTTTGCTCAACAACATTCTACCCAGTCATGTTGGTAAGTTTTGCTGGAAATTAACTTTTATAAGTGGATCGTAAAACTCATTCATATTTCCTCAGTGGAAATGTATCTTAATTCATTAGCTAAGCATGAGCTCTACTATGAAAATTATCAAATGGTCTCTGTTATGTTCGCCATGTTAATGCATTTTCAAATGGACCTAGAGAACCTACGAATACTGAACGAAATTATTACGGAATTCGACATATTGGTAAGCCTATTTTCATAAAACCAAGTTACTATACTTAACTCTCTACAGTTACTATATTATAAGGAATATTTTGTGGTAGAAAAAATAAAGGTTGTGGGCTGCACCTACATGGCAGCTTGTGGATTGGACGTGAGCTTTGCCGATAGCATAAGTAAGCCTGTAAAACGAGAATCGGAAGGCAAGTGACAATCATAAAACTAATAAGCATAAGCCAAATTAAATTATTAACCAGAATTTAGAGGATCATTTGGAGGAAATCATAAAGATCTGGAGGAGGTGGTATACGTTCTAGCCAGTTTTGCTCTCGACATGATGAGGACTTTGGAAGGCTTCAAAACCACTTACAAGTCGGTCGCGGCCATGCGGAGCCACTCAATTGGAGCAATTAGCATCGGTATCTCGAGCGGAGAAGTGATGGCTGGAATTGTAGGCGCTTCCCAGCCGCACTACGATATTTGGGGCAACGCCGTCAACATGGCGTCGAGGATGCAGTCCACTGGCCTAGCGGATACTATACAAGTGACTGAAGAATCAGCTTTAATCCTGGAGGAATTCGGCATTAAATGTAACTATCGGGGCCTAACCTATGTTAAGGGCCGCGGCAAAATCCCAACCTATATGGTGGACATCAGCAAGGAATATGACTTTACTGTGAAACCGCAGAGACGAAAGCCCAGTCATGAACAACGCAGTACGATTTTGTCGTATTTGCCCTACGATGCTGTTGATATACCAAACGAGTTAGGAAGCGACACGATTAGCTTTTCTAACAACCCAAAGTTCAAAGACTACTCCAGCATATAACTATAAAGACAGCAGTTTTGTATTTAATGAATTAAACTATTTGAAGAAATAACCTCCTTGGATATTTTATAATAATCGTCACATATGTTGGTGCTGACGGACCTGAAAGCTGACCGATGATGCCAGTCATTGTGTCCTGTAATTGATGTCTTTTTGAGAAAACAAAAATATCTGGAAAATACACGCAAGACAAAAGCCCATTTTCGATGAAAGCCCCAGGACTGCGTGTTTTATTCTCGTAGTCGCACGGCCCGTTTTTGTATCAGCTTTTTTACTCAGTACTGACACTTTTTACCATTCCTTTGATATGCAAAACGTACAGATCCAAATGCATTTTTTCAAAATAAAAAAATTCAGAGTTTGTCTTCCTGAAGTGAAAGCTTCTATACCCTTGCATATGGATTTAATCCACCTATGTATGTTTACGATTGTGTACGTTGGATTTTACTTTATATAAAAATGTAGTGTATCCTATCAATACATAATATAAAAAATTTACAACCAATAGAAAATTTAACTTCAGTCATATTCGTTTTTTGAAAAGTAACCAGTCGAAATAGACATTGATATGTCAAAGATCCGATGAAGATATGTAAGTATATAACTAAATAAATACTATATAAATAAACAAAATACTAGGTAATATTTATTATATTACCTATGTCAAGCTCTGAAGTACTAAAAATACTAAAGACGTTGATATTTAAAATAATTCTAGTTTTTAAATAAATCCGGATTTTAAAGTACATCTAGAGTATTCAAAACATCTCATTTTGAAAACCCATCCGGTGCTTTAATTGCTGTACGTGTGCATTGGACCGAGTGAATCATATTCCAGTCGTCATTATTCAACAACAGACAGGATAGATGTTTTCCTACTAATTGAGGATTTAATTTTAAATAAAAAACTATTCAAGGGAACTGAAAAGAGTTAAAATGTTCAGTTCAATTGAACGCTCGTTTAAATTGAGAAAATTTGGTAGAAATTTTTAAAGGAGTTGTAGTGGAGCTTTCAAAACTTCCATTAGTTCTAATTACATTTTTAGATAATTGATAGTAATTCCAATTCTATTTTTTAGTTGATTTTGGCCTCTGGCTACAAATCAGATACAAAACCAGCAGAGCTGCAGTAACACTGCAAATAAATCCGAATTCCAATCCCCAGTTGCTTTTTATCGAATTGTGTCACATTAAGAAAAATGTTTTCATGACAAAAAGTTAAAACCCGCAAAATAGCAAAAAATAAGTAAAAATGCTGTCGAAATCGAGTTTCATTCTTAGGCTATTTGGCATTCCCAAAATCTAAAGTAACAACATTGACTCAAGTCCGTTCTGAAATGCGAAAAAACGAATTCCAGACCTTTTCAAGCTAACTAATCTTTTTTTACGGATTTATTTTCCCTTTCCGTGAATATGGTCCAGTCTGGGGATGCGTGTGTGTAGTTGGCTGCCAATCCCAGCGACCAAAACGAAAATGTCATCATCAGCACGAAAACTTCTTTCCTTCTTTCTATATTCCCTCCTTTCTCCTATTATGTAGGTGTAACTACGTATGTGTATATGGAAACAGTGCCACTCAACGTAACTTTTTATGTGCAACATAGCAGAATGATTGTGTTCCGTTCCAGAAATATCAGCACAACAAGCATGGCCACAGCAAGACCAAAGCAAGAACAAAATCTTAAGCCGTTTCGCATAAAATTTCACACACCATTTTAGCCAAGTGCCACATTACCTGCACACAAGATGGGACTCGACTCGCCTCAACTCCACTCCACTCCACTCCACTCGGCTCAGTTCCCTGCCTCAGGAGATCCTGTAGTCCTGTGAACCGGGTCGGGGGGAGAAATAAAACGTTGGAAAAATGCTGGAGAACACGAAACCGAACATAAAAAAATACCTTTTGACACATGCAAGCAGAGGCGAATGGGGGCGTGGCGCCGGCCAAAAGTGTTGGCCAGCTGGTAAAAGGGGGCGGTTGGAGGTAGTGGAAGGCTTAAAATCAACGGCCAAGGACTAAAATGGCGCCAGCCAACGAGCTGAAAAGGAAACGAAAAATCTTGAAAATTGCATTTTAAGAAGAAGTTCGTTTGGCTATAACGGAAAATCTATAAGCACACACACAGGCAGACGTACAAAACATTTATATAAAATGTGCACACACATGTGGACCACACGTGTAGCAGAAAGCGACCGAATGCAGACTATGGAAAAAGGATACAAGCAAGCTCAATCTGGCGCTGACTCGGGGCCACAATAGCCATTCGGTTATCCAGTTGGTCAGCAAAAGCATCCTGGACCAATCCAATACAATTTTAACGATAATGTGGCCAAAAAGCAAGCGATGTCGAAATTGATATGGCCACCGAAATGGTGGATGCCACAAGGAAAGTAGTAAAAAACAGGAACATATAAATAAAAACAAAATCCACATATGAGCTGCATAAATAATGAACCAGAAAAAATAAAACAAGGTAATCATTCGTCCCTGCAGAAATTTCGTAGATCGATTTACTCTTATTCCCGTGTCCAAAAAAATCCTATCCTGGCTTTATTTTAAAATGGCCATAACAATTTCCACGTCTACTCCAAACGGAGCTCCTTTGGCGGAAATCTAATCCAGGAACGCGGAACCTTCGGCAACAACACAAGATTGTGACAACAAATTGCAAACAAACAAGCTACAAACAAGTGAATCACCTTTAACGCTTTCTTATGCACTTTTCGGTGTTTTTCCCCTCTGCCCCAGCACCTACCACTGCTCGGCCGCTTTCTATATAAAGCTTGTAAAGGTGAAAGACAGGTAGGGTGGGCCAGGTGCTGTCATAACTTCCAGAGCCGGCAGGCAGCAAACAGCGAAGGAACCTAAAATGACAAAAACTGCACACGGAGAAGCAACAGCAGACGGGTTGAACAGTCAAAGACCAAGACATGCAAGTCAAAGGACAACGGAATCTTCGAATTCGGATTTCATGCTCACTGCAAAATATGAATCGGGAAATGATATGATTCATTTAATATTATTTAAAATTTGCAATCAAGGCCTAATACTAATTGAAATATGTTTAACCCAATTAAGCAAAAGGAAATGATTCTTAGTCGTGAAGAGGTTAATCGTAATTGCCAATATTATTTACTGCCTATCTAATTTCATTACTTCATAAATAATTAGCCAATACGATTTCAATTTAAAGTCTGAACTCTGCCATTTTTTCAGTGTACGCAAGAGGCGTTTCCGTTTGTGTGCGTTGCTTAACACTCAAAAGCGGAAGTAAGCGTCGTTGGATGCGGTTGAGGATGAGTGGAGCGAGAGAAGTGGAGCAAGCTGACGTAAAGTGAGAGGGGAGGGGGAAAGGGTGGGAGACAGGAAGCAGGCAGAAGTTTGTTTTCTTGTGGCCTCGTGACTGGCACTTCTGTCTGCTGGATCTGCTGCCACCATTTCAGTTCTGTTGCCTTCGCCGTTGCTGTTTCTGCTGCAGTGACAGAAAAACCAAGAAGAGACAACTGCACGAAACACGAAGCTGGCAGCAGGCAGCAGGTAGCAGCTAGCTGGTAGCGAAATACAGGTGTGCTGCACTAACTGTAGCAAAAATATCTCTTTAAAGTTTGCGAGACCTGTCGTCTGTGTTAGTTTTTGACATGAAATTGCATTACATTTCACACGAAGAAACAAGCTGCCGGGTGTTGGGTGCAATGTGCTGGCTGGACTCCTGAACATTGTCTTATTTTTATGCCAACTGTCGTTTGGTTTCTCTGTGAAGTGTACAAATTAGTTGGCCTTGTCACTGGCAAACTGCAACATTAGCAACAGCAACATAACTGCAACAGGAACAACAACTTATTCCCGTCTGGCATCCTTAAGCTACTTTTCATCGATCCGCCCGGCAATTACGTGCAGCGTTCTCTCTACGGAAACAATTTATCAGACTGGGCAAACGACCCAAGCCGGGTGGCTTCACTCCTCTGGACGCCGGAGGAAGTGAAAAAATTGAGAGAAGAAACACGAAAACAAGCCAGCCGCAGTCCGAAATGTATGTCCAAAGTGCATGATAAAGTAAATTTTATTTAACGGCAGCAGCAAACAAACAAAGTAGGCCAAATTCATGAAAAGTTATTGGGGAATAAGGAATTACCCTTTTTTCAGCAAAAAATTGTCATAACTATCATAACTAAAAAATAACAAAATAATTTTGGATTTTTGTCAGATTTTTTCAATAATATATTTCAGATTTTTACACTCATTGAGTTTTTTTTAAGGCGGGAATAGAAAAAATATTTTTTAGCCAACCGTTTCCAATGTTGTATTTACCCGTAACACGTTAAACAACCTATAAAACCTGAGCCTTGAACCGTGCCATAAAAATACAAAACAGAAGAGAAAAACATTTCCCGCGGCCAATGAACTGCAGCAAGAACACCCACGCGGATTCCGTCTTGGCGGCCGAAAGGATCCCAAATAGGAACCCATCCTCATTCGGTCGCCCATTCGGTTGCTGCCAAATCGTCACATCATTACTTATAGTCCGGCAAAACATAGTGTTTTGTGTCGAGCTTAGCCCAAAAATAGACGGAATTCGGCCAAATTGAAAACGCTTTGGCTAAAGTGCACGGGCGAGATACCCTCCCGAACCCTTCTGGCCATTGACTGACAGGAGCCAGTGCTGAAATTTATTGTGCTAAGCAAACGGGCAATTTACCAAGCTGCAATTGCCGGTAACAGACATAGGGAAGTCTCTGCCAAGAGCTCGAGGGGAGAGCGTTAAACAGAGCGCACTCTGTCTAATCGTTGCGCTAAATTAACACGTATACGCCACGTATACGCCATGGCCGGCCAATATTTTTGTCTGCTGTGCATTGGCCGGGTTGTCCTTCGGCTTGGGGTTATACCTGATATACTTACGAAAGGTCGATAAGTATATCTTATTTTTTTTTTACGAAGATATTTTTTAACTACACTCCAAAAGAGAAGGATAAACAAAAACAAATGAAATCAAAATTTGCAAAGTGCTGTCTATC